AAAAGCACTTGCATTTACTCGCCATTTAGAAAATCCATTTCACCAAACTGCAGTGTCAGAAAAGGTAGAAAAAGTCGTGGCGTGTCCTTGGGAACGCGCGTCGAAAAGTGGAGGAGTCATAAAATCGCACGACGTGAAGGGAATCTCGAACACAATCAACGACGATCGCCTTTTTGACGCCTGTAAAATGTAAAATTTCTCGAAACGGACAGTTACGATCGTGCACGCCCCTCCCCCGTGTAAATATATTTCGTTCGCGCGATAACCATTTTCACGAGAATTGACGATTTATCCAAAATTCGGTAACGCGATAGGCGTATCGGTTACCAGTCATTTCCAACGTCCAATTGACGGAACGAGAACGGAGTCGAGGTGGAAGGGCCAGAGACCACACCGTGGAGCGTTCCAGTCGGCGAAACAGAAGGAAAACACCTACGGATCCCTATAGTTCTTCGCTATTATCGTTGTTTCGAGCCGTTAATATTAATGGATATAAACGCGTATCGCTGTGCCCGGCCGCCGTGGAAACGTTTCTCCGGACAGTGAGAAGACGAAGAAGAAGAGAGAGGGGCATTCGTGGGCTCTCTGCCTGTTAGTTGTAATTGAACGGACGCAGCTGTGCCGCAGCTACGTGCTCGTAAAACATTAATGACCTATAGCCGCTGACGATCGTTTCGCGTTATTATTCCTCAAAGTCAGAGAGCCAGCCGGCGTGTTTATCTGTGCATTTTCAATTTTCTTGGTCGTGAGTGAACCGGCCGCGAGATGAAAGCGTAATGACGACCGTTGTTGTTGCGCTCGAGGGAGAGAGAGAGAGAGAGACACGAGTTTGGGTGCTTTCGTGAAACGAAGAGAGAGCCTCTTGCTAGATGTTGCTAGATGTTTAGCGTTGTCCAGATCGAATACACAGATTCTCCTCGAGACGTTTCGTGTCGCTTGTGTTTTATTTTTTCGTTGAATTCAGAACTTCTTGTGGCATTTAATAGAGAATATTCTAGCAAAACTCTTGTGTGAATTGTGATATATCGTGTATAGTGTTTATATGTTATATTTATTCTGTCGAATATTTTCATTGTTCTTTTATATAGTACATTCTGTAGAAATTCGGACGTCAAAATTTCTTATAAATACGTAAAAATCTACAGTGTTGTGGTTACGATGAAACAAATAAATAGAATTGCAAGGAAATAATAGAAAATCAGATAACAATTACAGATAGTAATTCTCATTGCAATAATAATTGCAAATAGAATGTAGAAGATTAAGTATGGAATTAGATTGTACATAATAGTATACAGGGTGGCTCATCTAATCCTAGTACCTGAAATTACTCAAAATTCATTTTTTACATGCAAAAATATTCCAAGAATCGAAAATTATCGAGAGAATTGTCCAGTGTAATAATTAATTTCTTTATCATGCAAGAACTTTTGCTCGAGGTTTATTTGTTAATGCAACGAATGCTACAAATTATTTATTCTGTCGAGTATGTTATTTGTTCTTTTATATTGTACATTCTGTAGAAATTCGGACGTCAAAATTTCTTATAAATACGTAAAAATCTACAGTGTTGTGGTTACGATGAAACAAATAAATAGAATTGCAAGGAAATAATAGAAAATCAGATAACAATTGCAGATAATAATTCTAACTGCAATAATAATAGCAAATAGAATGTAGAAGATTAAGTATGGAATTAGATTGTACATAATAGTATACAGGGTGGCTCATCTAATCCTAGTACCTGAAATTACTCAAAATTCATTTTTTACATGCAAAAATATTCCAAGAATCGAAAATTATCGAGAGAATTGTCCAGTGTAATAATTAATTTCTTTATCATGCAAGAACTTTTGCTCGAGGTTTATTTGTTAATGCAACGAATGCTACAAATTATTTATTCTGTCGAGTATTTTATTTGTTCTTTTATATTGTACATTCTGTAGAAATTCGGACGTCAAAATTTCTTATAAATACGTAAAAATCTACAGTGTTGTGGTTACGATGAAACAAATAAATAGAATTGCAAGGAAATAATAGAAAATCAGATAACAATTTGCAGATAGTAATTCTAATTGCAAATAGAATGTAGAAGATTAAGTATGGAATTAGATTGTATATAATAATATACAGGATGGCTCATCTAATCCTAGTACCTGAAATTACTCAAAATTCATTTTTTACATGCAAAAATATTCCAAATAAAAATCGAAAATTATCGAGAGAATTGTCCAGTGTGATAATTAATTTCTTTATCATGCAAGAACTTTTGCTCGAGGTTTATTTGTTAATGCAACGAATGCTTTATGAATAATCTCAGGTTGTAGAATCAGATGACTTGTCTTGTACATTATATATATTTAACCAAGAATATTTTAACAGTAAAATTGGGTTAGGTTTCAAATCAAAAAGGAAATAAATAATTCAATAATTCGAAAATAACGTTCGCTCGGAATCAGCAGTAATTTTCAATTCTCCAGCCGAAATTTGAACATCGAAGATCGTGATCGCCGTGGTCGTCACGCGACAGGTCGTTTAATTAAAAACCAACAGCCGTGCGAAGAACGCCTCTCTCTCTCTCTCTCTCTCTCTCTGCCTTTATTTCTGCCAGCTTCTTATCCTAGGCGGAACGCCTCTCGGAAGAATTTCGTATTCGTGAGTCCGGCAGAACACGAAAACGGGTCGGGAAGGGAAGAAGATTATGCCTGTCAGGGATTTTTTGAGCATGACAGGCTCTGCTGCCGCTCGTGTTGTTGGACTATCTCGTTCGTGTTGAACGGCTGGCGTTCCCAATTGCACGTGGCTTTCTAGCTTCCTCGAAGCGTTTTTCAATTCGCCTAACCACACGTTCAAAGCGAACGGTCGGTCATGCGAGCCACGGATGGAAACTTCCCTTCTGGGAAGTTCGTTCCGCGAAACGAGCAACCGGTCACCCTGGTGTAATGAGTTGATAGATTAATCGTCGAAAATGAGCACCAATCAGCTGTCTAGGTCCATTTTCGTTGACCCAGGTCCTTCTAGACCTTTCAAGGTCGCTGTTAATTCCCTCTTTCCAGAACGTTCGGGCACTGTCGAAGAATGAGTTATTTGTTCATGTTGTTCGATGACTGTTGTTGAGAGAAAAAGATGGAAACAGTTTGTTTATTTTTCGTCGAAAAGAACTTCTTCTGGTTATAATTATAATTCCTGACTTTAATTACAACTTTGATCATTAAATATAATTAACAGAAATTTCAGTAGCATATAAAGAATGAAGTATGCTGTTATTTAATTTTGGAATTTTAACATGTTCTAAATTTTTGAATGTTCGTTAGCTACAAGTTTCCGTTTGAAATCAAAAATTTTCGACCAAGTTCATAATCCACGATGCTGGCTGAAATCTTCCTGAATGTAAGAAAGTGAAAGGTACAAGGATCTTGCTCCAAAGGATGGATTCAAGTTGGATTCATGTCCTTTTCACTTTGGTTGATTATTACGAATGATTCATCCACAGTAAATGAAAGTTGAAGTATTTACATTCAGCTCGCTGAACTAACTTCAATCTTTGAACTCAAACGTGTGAATTGTTCGTGCGTGTTGTCGCAAAATGAATAATGTGAGAATACAAAAAATATTTCATGAGATATCTCATCAAATTTACTAGGATCAGTAACTTTGTTTGCTATATATTGGTTATTTAAATTTTTCAGATTTACTCGAATCAATGAATTTATTAATTATTCCTTTTGCATTTTATATATCAATTACTTTGTTTTTATAGATTTCTTATTAATTCTTGAGACAGAATAAATTCTTCTTTCTTAAAGGGTTCATTCTTTCATTTATTAACCCTCAGATGAAATTTCGTAGGGCTACAGACGATTATAATCATTTCTATATTTAATACACTTAATTTACAGCTTTAAATTTTCTTTCGTCAAAGTTATTAATGAAAATAATTTAAATTAAAAATTCCAAAGTGTGTGTAAAATTTAAATTTTCATGGCTCCTATTACAATGTCCAACAATGTGAAACAATATTTTAAATTCTTAGATAAAGAACTGTCCAAGAAATAAACTAATAGCATAACTGTCCAAAAGAGAGATAAGAATCTACTGAATTCGCATTTATTTTTTGCAACACGTAAATTTCGCAAGATCGGACTCGTTTATTTTTTTTTCTCAATGCTGACAAACAGCCTCTCAAGGGTGTTTCGATGCGGACGAGCAGACACATGTCACGATCGTTGCACAAGCGAGATCGGTCTCTCTCAACGACATTAGCTGAGATTTTCAATCTCATTTTCTGCCGACTTGTTTCGAATTGTGTTACATTAAATCGCGCTGATGAAATGTTACTGCCGAGCGTAACAAATGGCTGGTTTTGCTTCTGACGGAAAGGGGTGGCGCGCAAATGATTTATCCTTATGGCTGGATATACCATAAATCAACAACCGTGACGCGCTCTATTACGAAAGGCTAATGATACGTAATTGAAACCGGATATAGTAAAAAAAAAAGAAAAAAAAAATTGGTCTCTTCATCAGCAACGCTATTATTACGTGTTTCTCGCGGTTTCTTTAATTCGTATATTTTAGTCCGTTCGTACTACTTTGCAGAATTGTGCATTCGAAAATTATTTTCAATCAAGGCACAACGATCATCAGCTGCGATTGTCCTCGACCAGCTGTTTTACCAAACGAGATATTTTATTTTCAGATAAAAGATGCAACGATTGCTCCATAGATTTTACTTCGTTTGCTTCATTTTTCTTTGGATTAATTTTTCAACCGGAAGCTTTGTTCCCAATTTTATTTATGCTTGTTGGATTACTCGAATATTTCAACGACAACAAAATAACAAGAACGACCGACGATAAACTTGGTGTATTCGAACGACTTTCTACGATAAAAAGTGTGGTGAAAAAGTTTCAGATAATAATTGTTATAACTGTTATAAATTGGCATATGCAAGTGTGTCGTTATATATTTTCCACGATGAAGAATAAAATATCAGGCGAGTTGACTGCAGATCAGTGTATTTTTAAAATAATGTCTATACAGTAAAGAAATTACAAGTCGTTTCTCGCGAGCGTTCACAACCAGTACACGAAGTATATTAACAAATGTACAAAACGCTGGTCGTCGTTGCAACCATCGTGCGCAGAAACGTTACCAACAAACTGTACAAAATGATCGATTCCGTCGAAACGGTTCCGTTCTGAAGTATAAACACCGTTGATAAAGGTCCTTTTCACGTGTAATCCAAGCAAGGAGGAACTATTTCTTCCGCAACGTTTCGCTGTATCCTCTCCAGAGAGGATATTCTCTCCTTTTCAAAATCGTCGAATTTCATCTGTGACCGACGATGGCAACTGACTATCGATGTGATTTTACAATTTTATACATCGAGAATGATCGATACTTTAATATATCGATTGTTTAATATCCACGAGCCGAAGAAAGAACAGCGTATTTCCTTGTCTTTCGCAAAATAATAGTTTTATAATAGTTTTAAAATAATTTTAAAATAATTGTCACGTTGTCCAAACACCCTTTCACGTAGAACCAACCGCTTTCTCTGACTTTAATGAAAAGAAAGATACAACTTGTTACATTTATTTGAATCACCCTGTATTGTAATTATCAAAAGAGTATCAATTACATTTGATACCCGTGTACATTTGTAATATATACATCGATGCCAAAATAAATATTGTAAAATCATGTCGTTTTGGTATTTTTATGCACTTCTCAATCAATAAGAATTTATTTTATCCAGCGTACATACATGTCATACAACAAATACTGTAATTCATTATCTGTTTTATAGTATCATTGCGATTTTTAGTCCACCAGACTTCTTCAATCAACAAGAACTTACTTTTATCTAGCACTTCGGTATGTTTCACCTATTTTTGTTTACTTGTTGGTGCCAGTTTCGAATGTACATGCATACGCGAGCGCATAAAAATTCGGTATCGTCAGTACCATCGCTGCGCGCGCGATCTCTTAGAGTACGGGTATTCTAATAGTATCGATCGGTCATAGCGAAGATTCCTCTCGGTGTACCGGAAGTGGCGTTCCAGGCCCCGCTACATCCGGCACGCGCACGCGTGGACCGCAATTACGCCATCATTTCTCTCCGGTCAACAGCCTTGTAAATCTTCCGGCCCGGTTCTCTCTTCGTGGAGGACGCCGCCGCCACTTTTCTCTCTCTCTCTCTCTCTCTCTCTCTATGTCTCGCCACGGAAAAAAGGGAGAAAAAGACGCGCCTGGAGGATAATTTCTTGGGCAAATGGCGCTGTAAATTCCGCCGGTGCACTGCAGCCGCGTTTCTACCCGAACGGTTCTCCGCTTCGATCCAGGAAGTCGCACGTTATCCCCGTCAATGAACTACCAACCACTGCTTCGCTTCGGTGTGCACTCGTGCTTAATGTCCGTCGTGTTAACGAGTCTGTCGACTGGAGAACGGCGCCGCAATTTGTCGCGTGTCTACGGGTGGTGATGTACGAAATCGTTTGCTCGATACAATTCGAACGTATATATATATATATATCGCGACAGGAAGATGGAGATTTCTTTTCTAGGTTTAATTACTTTAGTAATCGTGTCGCAATTGTAAAATTGGCGAGTTATTGGATCGTAGATGGAACGTCGCTGATTTTTCGAAGCTGGCTGTTTGAAGTATTTATATACGTGGACGATGGAAGATCTCGTGTCACGAGATTAGTGTTAATATGAATTTCGTAGACGTTTGTACGTTTCTTGCGAGTTTTAATCGAAGGAATAGAATATAAGTATTCAGGTGTATCGTGAGAAATACTCTGTCACGTATAATAGACATTTTGTAGACTTTCGTGTTGTTGAATTTCTTAAAGAGACGCAAAATATCTACAATCCGGGCACGTTTGCAATTATTTAACAATTGTCACGTGGCTAATGGCGGGACGAACACGTGCTCGTCGGTGTTTCTTGCTTCTTCCTCGACGAGTTTCCAATATTTTTAAAATTCAACGACTTAACAAACCTCCATTTTAACAAACTTTTCAAAAAAAAACACCAACTTCCACAACGTAATTCAACACGATTCCACAGCAACTGCACTTTCTTCCTCTCGATACTACTACCCACGGTTGGCAAATTCAACTCAAAAAAAAAAGAAACAAAGAAAACAAAAAACACAAAATTCACCATCAGCAGACAGTGTTATAGATCCCTTCTTCATCGTCGCCGGTGTTCAAGTCAGAAACCTCCGACTGCGACAACGCTAGCTTCACGTAACCTCTGTCCTTCTCTCTGGTCCCGTTCTTCCCTGCTGCTGGCGGCGGAGGTGGCGGTTTCTCCTGCGGTTCGTCGCAGATCTCCGCGTAGATCTCCTCCGTCTTGGACGGCGGCGGAGTCGACGGTAACGGGGTTAAACTGTCCCTGACCTTGGAGTACGGTGGATCCAGGTCCTGCTGTTGAGTCTGCACCTCGAGCACGCTCGTGGAAACCGATCGTTGAACCTTCTCTCTCGAAGACGGCGCGGACGCTTGCAGCAGATTCGTCTCGGACTCGAGGCTGGCGTATCTCTCGGACCTCATGCCGATTTCCGGCCGGACGGCGAACGTGAACGAGGCGGATTTCTTCGCTGGGTTTCTGCTTCTGCCACCCTGAGCTATCCTCGAGATCCGATCGAGGAAGCTGTGATTGTTGCCGGAACTCGAACGGCCGTTGCTACGATCCCTGATTGTCGTTCGTTTGATGTGCTCCAGCCCCTCCCTCAGACTCTGGAGGATCGGTTTCGCTTCTGGCTTGGACTTGATCTCCTTTAGGTGCAGCTCTTTCAGCTGGCCGCCGCCGCTGGCCGCCGGCTTCGGTGGCGCTACGCGTGGTTCCGTTGCTCTCTGGTCTAGCGCTCTTCTGGAATATTCACCGAAAAGAAATCACAGTGTTAAAGTTTATAAATATTTTATTATTAATCGGGGTGTGAAATTATCAATTAATGAGAAGATTAGAAATTCTTTTCTCGTGAAAAGTCAAGGGGAAAGATATGGATCGAGACTTGTGTCATTTTGTTAGAGAAAATCGAGATTGAACAGTATGCGTGAGCTTGATTAATTTTAGATCAAGAAGAAATAATCGATATTAGGTTATTCTACGTGTGAAAATAAATTGGAAAAATGTCAAGTGAAATTTTTTTTTATCAAACGTGAATGGACTCTTAACTTTAGATAAGACAGTCAAATTTTATTGGAACACTTTTTATTTTTTACATTTTGTATTTATCGTGGATAATGAAACATTAAAATTGTATAATACATATATTCCTTCTGTACTGAATATATATTCTTTCTTTTTTTTGTTATTAAATATATTCGAATTCATTTTGAATTCATTCGTTTATCTAATTTTAAGCATGATTTGAATTATCATCGTGGATGATAAAATATTAAAATTGTATAATATATATTATACATTCTTTTGTGTATTGAATATATTCGAATGTCTGAATTCGTTCATTTGTCTAATTTTGAACACGATCTGAATTATCATCGTAGATAATTAAATATTAAAATTCCAATATATTTATATTGAATATATTAGAATTCATTCGTTTTGAGCATGATTTGAATTATCATCATAAATAATAAGATATTAAAATTGTATAATATAGAATATACAATCTCTTTATATACTGAATATTCCCTTTTTGTACTCTAAACTGTACTAAACATATTCATTTATTACGATTTAAATCTGCATTCGAATGTGTATAGTATTTTGGGCGTAAATATAATTTTAAGCGTCGGATATCATAATATCAAACCGGTGTGAATGTATTTTTACCTGCAAGCCGAAAGTAGCCGTTGCATTTTGGGCGACGCGAGCAACCGTGCCTCGGAAGGGCAGCCTAATCGCGCCCTTTTCACTCGTGGCGCCGTTGGTCCCGTGGCAACGAGTTCCAGCAGTTCCGGCACCGTAGAACTCGGTAAAGGCCTTTCGGGCATCAGAGGTACCGCGCATCCCAACACTATGGGGCCCCTGGTTGCACCTTCCAGCTGCATCAGGCCACTGTAATCTCGCGGCAGTGGTATTGGCAACGGTCCGGCAACCAGTCGTACCTATCGACACGAATTTTCAAACTCGAGCGTCGTTTACATTTGATTGTTGAAAACTTGGAACGAACGACACGTCGTTCGTGTTAATAGCTGCACGTTTTATTTATCAGTTTCTGACACGCAATGAGAGCCTCCTCTATATAAATTTCTTGGACAATAACAGAACGACGAAATGTCCTGATGTGAAATTACGTATATTTTTTTGATACTATAATTAAATTCTTGGCAATGAATACTCTCTGGTATAAAATAATGAAATTTTCAGTAAACACTGTATTACATTTAAACAGTACATAATATAATAATAGAAAAATTCGGATATCAAGGTGTTCGATTGGACACAGGAAGCTCTGCTGCGTTAACTCGCACTTTGCATCCAGTAAAATTTGCTCAACAGAGGATCCGAGGACAGAGTTAACAACAGCGTGATCCATCGAAATTAATAACAAGATAATAATTAAACGTTATTCTGACACTCTGACTCCGCGACATGGAACATTTGACGAAGCTCACCCTAAGAGGAAGATCCCTTCTGGCAAGTTGGTGGACCCTGTAGAGCACCGCGTCGCTTCCGGTGTCGAGACTTCCGCTCTGACACGTCGCGTAGAACTCGCCCCTGGCTGAAAGCGGGGCGAACAACTCGTGCCCGTGAGAATCCAGGCATTGAGCGTACTGGTCTCGTTCCGACGACCTTGAACTCTTACCCTCCGGCGCGCCGCTAACGACACCGGAAATACCGCTGGAAACCGGCGTCCTCCGCGTGTCTTGGAAAACCGCGGCCAGTCGCAGAACCTCCCCGGCTCGTACCGTCGTTTTTGTGTAGTGAGCCCTCAGGTTACCGTTCTCTGAAACGGAAATTATCGTTCTACTCTGAATCGTTACTCTACGTTCATGCCTGTGATAACGACGATCTATTTAGAGCTCAGCTCACGACGAACGGCCGAACTTGTCGTTAGACGATGTGCATACGTAGCTTGCGACTGTTTATTTAGACCAGGTCTGGAACCAGGGGTTCCCAATCCGAGGGGAGGAATTTCACGAGAGATTTCGAGAGAGGGAAGTCGATAAATTCTTTCTTTTTTTTTTTGGTGAATTTGAGTCGTGGAAGTAGAGTACATTCTTCGGTGAAAACATCATGGAGTTTGCTAAAAAGACGGCTGTCATTTGATAATAATATACATGTTATTTTTATATTATATACGTTATACATTAATCGTAACGATATGCATATTACTTGTATGCCATATGCATTATATGTATATCGTAATAATGTGCATACTATTTTTTTCGTATCCGTAAATGTCGGATCAATCAATTTCTAATAACTGTGTATAACGATAGATTTCTATTACTATATGCCCCAATAATACTTTCGCGTACCGCTATCTTATTACGCGAACGTTGTGCTCTAACTGTGCTAGCCGTTCCAACACACAGCACTCGCTCGCAACAAAATAGCCTCTGCCTCATTATTCCAATTACCTAACTTAACTCTACCCACGCTATCATTAACAGGCTAGCTTCCACCTTCCAAGCCAAGTCTGTTCCATTATTCAACCAAATGAATTTCTTCCTAACAGTTCGCTAACCATCCGAGCTAATAACAGTGTTAACGCTGGAATCTCGGCCATGCAGGAATTTTCTCGGCTTTACGTGCGTTTCTGACCAATATCGCCGTTGCCCTTCGTTGTTCTTCGTTAATTCTGCAATCAACGAACTATTTTTTTTTTTTTTCAAGAAGATAATATTGCTTATAAATGTCACCCTTACTTTATACTTTGTACTCTCCGAATTTCGAACGATTCAGAATTTCCAAAATTCGAATCTTCTCTCGATGACTCGGCGATAAGACGTTAGCGTCGCAGAAATTTATCCGAGACACTCTCGCACACCATGGACGACGCAGAAACACGGACCTGCTGACAATAAGGGACGCTTGTGAGAAACTCACAATCAGGGTTATCAGCGTGAAACCGTGTCGAAGCGAGGATCTCTCTCTCTCTCTTTCTCTCTCTCTCGTCTAGGACGTGACGATATACCCGGGGTGGTTCTCTCGAGTGCGTGGAAACGCGAGGCGTGCACTCACGCACGATTCGCGCGACGCGACGAATTATTCCCTTGGGTGCAGCGACTGGCCGTGACACGAATGTCAATGTGTCTGTTAATGCGAGTGGCCAGCGCGCGCTGTTGTCCGTGCGTTTAAACGTAGGCGAGGGGCACGTGACGTAATAGGCAACGTGAAAGCCGCTGGGGTTCTTACGATACGCACGGCCCTCGTGCCATTATACACCTTAACGATTACAGCGACGTGTCTATGGCTAGTTCTTTTCTCCTCTCGTCGACTTTCTTTTCCTTTCAATTACACGCAAGATAGATCCTCGGGCGATTTGAACGCCAAGAAACAATTCTCCTCGCGTTGAATCTCTTCGTAATGAACAATTAGAATTGACTGCGAATTTGTTGAAATGATTCTCCACCGAGGGTTCTGTTATAGTTTTTGTTATAGTAATGTAATAATAGTAAAAGTATGTCTTTTAATGTCTCAATGATATGTACACGTTATGTAATTCCTTTATAGAGCACTCAAGTGTTTTGTCTCAAAGTTACTGAAGAATAAGGAAAATTCTACAGTTAAAATGTATCGATTTAACTAGGAAATAGATCATTTTTCTATACACACAGAAGAAGTACTTCATATTTTACAAAATTTCACACATTCCAAAAAGTTCCATCGAATTCCATGAATCGTCGAAGATTCATTACATGGGGGGAAAAGATTTCTAACGATAGAACTTGTTACTTAGGAGAAACGTGAATTATCATCTTGACACTTTAACTAAGTCGGAAGGAACGATTATTGTTGGAGCACGGAATGAATCGAGCGTTTATGGCCAATAGTACGATCGATATGTGTTGCGTATGTATTTTTACCCGTACGCATACTTTCGAACGAAGGATGATTGGACCCGTAGCTGTAGAACGTCCAGGATATCCAGCATTAAATATTTTCTGGCTTCCCCCAGAAAATCGATTCACAGGTAAAAACTTAATCGAAAACAGTATAAGCCAATCTATGCAACGATCTTTATTATTATAATTCTAACGCTCGAAACGTAACGTTATTAAAATAATCATCCGGCAGTGAAACCTTCTTCCTTCTTCTTCGGTATCATCATTAATTCTCCACGATGTACGGTGGAGATTTTTCGTCTTCCTTTTAGCAAACGAAAGTGCGGGAGACAATGGTTTCATAAACAAGCCTCTCATAAATTTTCTCAACTAGTTCTTCTCTAGTTCCGTAGACGTCAATCGCGTTAAGATCGTCTCTTCGCGTTTAACCCTTTAACGGTTCGTAATAATCTTTAAATATTACATTCGATCGTCAGGCTGCGTATTTTTCGTGCATCCGCGCGAAATTTAAATATGCAAGAGTGTATACAACGTAAATATTTATATCTTTTTAATATAAATATATAATATAAATAAATATATAAATATATAATTATTTATTGTTAAATATATAATATAAATATATAAATATATTATATTTTTATATAAATATCTAATATTTATATCTAAATATATAAAATCCAACGAAACTGTGAACAGAACGATATAATGTAAGAAAAATGATATTTAACAATAATACAGAAAAAATAACATCAAACAACAATAATATTTAATATATTTGACAATCTTTGTATCGTATTTCTTTAATTATGTATCTTTTATCACCTTTTTGTAACTTACGACGAGTCGATTTCTAAACATTTTTCTTCTTTCGCAACTACCTTTGAAATTCGTCGTTCGATTAAAATTTACCACGAACAGATATTAGGTCGAGTTTGGTTGAGAAACGCTGTGACGCCATTATCATCGTGCATTCGCGTTAACACTTCTGGTACAGAGTATTTTTATTTCAAACGCGTTGCGATCGTAACGAGCGGACAAATGGAACATTTCCTGGCGTGGTGTGCAATTACGTGTCATTTACAAAGTAACGGTACAGCTGGATTAAACGGTTGTTAAAGCTTACCCATTTTCGAGTGTGTCAGCGTGTAAGCTCTCAGTGGTTTAGCGAGTAGAAACGCCGGGACGCCGGCTCGGACTAACGCCCCCACTCTTCGGTACACCCTGGCACTTCCGGTACCACTGTTGCTCGACACAACGGAGAACCAGCCTGCAACCAACGGAGATTTTTTTTTTTTTTTTTTCTCGTGAATGGACCTGACTTTTTTCTTTTCAAATTCCTTAGACACAGGATTTTCTTCATTGCGACCCACCATAAAAAAAAAATTAACACTAGAACTACCGGAGTGGTTAAAATAATTTATAATGTTTAGTAACTTATGGAATAGTTGCAAACTTTATTTTACAAAGATTTGAAAAATGATCTTTCGTAATGTTTCTGATGGAAATTTTATGCTTTAATATGCGTTGGTAGTTCTAGCGTTAATATAATATTACTCGCGTATATATAATAGTAAAGTATATAAAGTTATAATACAGTATATTATAATATTATAATACATATATTATAATACAAGTATAATACAAGTATATTATAATATTATAATACATGTGTATAATATTATAATATCAACTTTGTAATTTAAAATGAGTAATATTTTTCAGTATATTTCAAACAACGTCGCAAGTGTCATAACACTGTGTAACACGGTTCAATAGAATTCGAAGCCAATTGGAAGATGTATCTTCCAGTAATATATTTAGTAAGAAAATTTCTAGCAAAAATGTTTTCAGTGAAAAATACACTTTAGCAAGGATGTATTCAGTAAAAAATTAGTGTAGTCGCTTTAACTTTACAACAATCGAAATTTATTGATATAATAAGTTGCATGGAAGACGAATGTCTATAAAATAAAACGAAGATGGAGTTGCACTAGATTTATAAAAAAAAGAAAAAAGCAAGGAAGGAGAACATTTTTGAACGAAAAAAGAAAATCCGCGAAATTTCATCTGTCCTCTCTGATATACAGGGTGACCGAAAAACTGAGAAACTGGAGGGTTTGAAAAATTCATAAAAAAAGAAAGAAATTTTAATTCGTAAAAATTCATACATAACACTGGAAAAAGTCCATTAGTTATATTTCCAAGTAAAATAATAGAAAATTAAAAAAGTGTGTGTGTGTTTGTAAAATGTTATTTTTGTTTTGCATCATTCAGCCCCCTGTATTTCGGTGGTCACCGAACCATTTTATATCTATAATTCTCGTTGCCGCGGGAATGGCAAGTCGCCGCGTTCGGCTGGCACAGTAATTTTCGCTTTCTCGTGGAAAAGGAAGGACACGCAGGCGATGGCATCTGTGTCAGGCCCGGTGCAACGTCGTCGTTCCGACGGCTTGTTTTGTCGAGCGGCCGCAGCGGTTCGTTAACAGCGTTTCATTCCGCGTGAGACGAACGTGACAAACGTTACCCGTTGCGCCGTGGAAAATGGCTTCGGGTTCCAGTTGCCCGGGTGACGGTGAAAAACCAGCCTTTCATAAACTCACGTCCGCGCCATTGGCGTTAAAATAACTCTCGATCGGCGATCACTCGATAACAGATTCTTGCGTAATCGCAATGTTGCTCTCTGACCCAGTTCGTTCGAAAGATCGAAACGACCAGGCACGCGTCGCTGGTAATAAATTCGTTCCCCCCGTCAAATTCTACACTCACGAAATGGAATTGAAAATGTTGAATGGAAATAGAATTTAATATCCGTCAATTATGTTCTACGTACATGTTCTATTCTATTTACGAGATAGAATGTTTCACAATGTACTCTCGATAATCATCAGCAGTGTTTAAATTCGAATATTTGATAATTAATACAGAGTGTTCTTGCGGTAGTAAAATTTTTCAATATGTATTACTCGTTGTTACGTACTTTCGAAATTATAGATTCGTTAAATTCTACGAGGGTGCATAATTCTGCAGAGAAGCATCGTAGTCACTCAAGCCGTTCAAATGTGTATTTATGGCAAACGATGCTTCTCATTGTGTGTCTCCATTTCGTACTGAGATCAATTATTTCGTCAGGGAGCGAATCTCGAACTTTCTGGCGATTCGCCATGGGAAACTCGGCAACGAGCGAGATTACCTGGATTCCTTAAATTAATAATTTATCGGCGATTCGCAGGATACACGCGCGACTCGTCCGATAATTTATAGCCGAGCGTAAAAACACACAGCGTTTGTCTCGGTGCCGCGTATATATCCACAATGAAGGCGTATAAATCGCTGAATCGATTTGCAAGCGGTTTTGCATCCTACTTCCGCCATCTTGAATTGATTTACAGCTAGTACTAATGCGCGAGCACCAATGATTGTTCCGTCCACGTCGTCGATGCACAGCGATGTCCGGCTTTTATGAGCTGCTCGTCGAATTTATCGTCGATCGGCCACCGCTGTCACGTTGGATTAAATTACAATCTGATTCCCTAAAAGACGAAGCTTTTAAACAGCGTTGAATAAATTGAACAGGAGCGCGTGCATGAGAGAGCGAAGGAAGTAAAGAATTTACTGCACGTTGTGAAGTATCGATAAAAGTTTAAACACATGATGCAAAATGTTTCTATAAATGTTCGAGTTTCTATAAATGTTCGTCGTCGAATTTTGCCGTGTGGTTACTGTTGTACGTCTCATCACGAAAGTTGAAGAATATGTTATAATATTAACGTATTTAACATAATGTTAGTGTTATAATATTAACGAAACTATTAAAAAGTGTTTTATAACGACACGTGTAATATTTTCTAATCGCTCAGTTTCTATAAATGTTGAAAAATATTTTATAATTATAATATTTTACAAAAATGTTTTATAATAAATTAATATTTTATAATTATAATATTTTATAAAAACGTTTTATAATAAATTAATATTTTATAATTATATTTTATAAAAATGTTTTATGATAACACGTGTAATATTTTCTAATCACTCAGTTTCTATAAATGTTGAAAAATATTTTATAATAAATTAATATTTTATAATCGTCATATTTTACAAAAAATATTTGAGAAATATTTTATAAAAAAAATTTGAAAAATCTTTGTTGGAAAATATTTTATAATTATAATATTTTTTAAAAATGTTTTACAATAACACGTTTAATGTTTTCCAATCACTCAGTTCCTATAGATGTTGAAAAATATTTCCCAAGAGAATTTAATGATAACAAGTTCCAAAGATTCGCTTCGCCATCGCGTCTTCGTCTAAATGCAACGAAATATCGCGAAATTCAAAGGAGTCGAGATGCTAAGGAGCTGGCATCAAGGCAAGTTGCTGCTTAATGGATGAAATCCAACTAGGAGTCGCAACTAGAAGCTATTTCACGCCGTGACCCGTTACTCAAACACGATGAGTAAAAAGAGCCACCGTACGATGATATACATTAATGCATCGCCGTTGCAGTTCATTCTGTTACAGCTAGCCGGTACTGTTCCGTCATTAATATTCGATTAACCCGTGTCCCGTGAACAATGCAGTCGAGTCGTGGCTCTTTACTATGGTGTTTCGGCTCGTGGACCAACAGAGGCTAACCTGTCTTGCGATTCTTCTATTTTTCTTCTTCTTCTTCTTTTTTTTTTTTATTCCTAACTCACTTCGGATTCGAGTTCGACGTCGAGGGAAGTACGGTTGTATGGAAATCGCTGGGATTGTAAAAAACAGGAACGGAGAATCACCCGTTAGTCGATAATGATTTATATTGGATCGCAAAAATCTCGAGTATATTTTTAATTTTCGTTAAATTAATATTTGTGTTTTGTTTTAACTTTTTAATTTTTAATTTTTGTTACTTTAAATTTTTCATTTAAAAAATGCGTAAAAGTCTGCAGTTTAATTACTATATGTACATGTACGAGGCCAATTCTTTACTTGTGGGGAGTATTTAAATTCTATTTGTGTGAAAACAGAAAAACCTTAGAGTTAGATATTGTTAAGAACTCGTAATTCGTCGACGATCAATCAAATTCACTGTGTGCTAATTAAACTTCAAATTCTACTTTCTTAGAAGCTGAGCTACAAATTTTAATCTTCATTTTCGTATTTTTTTATTTTTCCTATAAGAAATCACTTCGTATCAACTTGTCAGTCGTACCCTACATTTTTCACGAAGCAAGCAAACAATTAGTCTGTTCGAACATTACGTAAAATCGTACTAATTCGAAACAGTGTACAAACCCACGCAAATCGCACGCAAAATTGCCTCGGACCAGTCGTTCCTCGAGCTACCTGAACCAAAGTCAATTAAATTAATTAATTAATTAAAGCCAATTAAAACCATCCCCACGCTTTCACAAAATGGAAGAAAGAAACTAGCGTATTTTCTTTCCGATACAATGAAGACCACGCGTGTAACTCAACTTCGTCTCGAGATAATATCGTTCAATCTTTCGCACACGTGCAAAGCACACGACCAATTACGTTAGCCAGAATTGCGCAACAACGGAGGCGTATGCTAATCCTTTCGTTGCGAAAAATGAAAAAAGAAGAAAGAAAGAAAGAAAGAAAGAAAAAAGAAACCAGGCTATAGCGATACTCATTAGGCTCGCGAAACGTTGCCAAATACACGGCGTTCCAGATTATATTCAGATCACTCTCATTATCTCGGAGGTCAGGGCAAGCTGGAAGTAAGAATGAATTCCAGCCGGCAACTTTCACGTTGCGTAACCGAGCGTTTGTTTCTCTCCTTTTCGCTCGTTTGACTCTCGAGGAGACTCTCTCGCTCGCGCGGACACGCGTGAACGCACTCGTGTGTGCATCAGCGCGTAATTGATGCTGCTTTACGAGCAAATGAATTTAGCTACCAAATGAGGCGATGCCGTTGCCGGTTCTTTAAAGATTTAAGAAGCGCGCGCCTGGTGAAAAGTGAAACCAAGAACGATCACGCGCAGTGATGACGGAATACAGCATTTATCAAGCAAGGATGATTTTTTTTTAATAAATTGTATGAGAATAAGTTCGTGTACGATATCCTACATTTTCTGTGATTCGATTGTAACACGTCTAGCTTTTAGGATTTATCAGAATAATTGGTACTGGGCTGCGAAGAAGTTTCGAATTAGCTTCGAAAAATTTTAATCCGTTTCGAATTTCAAAAGTTTCGGTTAGTGAATCTTGAAAAATCTTCAAATATCGTTCGATACCTTCAAGTTTTCGAGAGTCATATTTAAATTTAAGTCTTGAAAATTTCGATTAATCTTGAGTCTTGAGGATCTCGAATTAGCTTCGGAAATTTTAATTCGTTTCGAATTTCAGAAGTTTTGGTTAGTAAAGC